CACCATCAGTGAGCTATTGGACAGCACTACTTGGTCTGTTGTGTGGATGCTTGGGTGGTTTAGGGGCGGGAAATTTTTTTGCTGGGTTGGGGTGTGTGTTTGGGGATTGTTATGTGTGTTGGGCCTGGTCTCTGGGCGTTATGTGAATTTTGTTGTATCTGTATTCTGTGTATATATGTACAATGACAATAAAATAAAGTAAAGCAACTACCCTTAAAAAAATGGAGATAGGAAAGTGTTAAAAGCAGGCAATGCATATCAGAAAGTGCTCAAAAGTCAGCACTTGTTTAATATTTTATAACTATCCTGTTTCTTTCCATTGTGATGCTCACCATTCCCCTTTCTTTTTGACATGCTTAAGGACTAATCCCTTCGCTAACAACATTCAACACTGTAACACAATTACTAGAATACATAAATAAATCTATCAAGTGCAAAACCTAGGCAGAACATGGAGCTGAGGTTTGCATGCTGGGATAGGCAGGGAGCCACATAGTTGGACCAAAGCAGAAAGCTGAAAGAGTGTGCCCTATTATCCACATTTGAATCAGACCATATCTGCACCCTCACCGGCTTCACAATCCACTTCTGACGACCCGCACAATCTTCCCAAGCTTTCCTGAGAAGCTTGATATCTTGTGGGAGGATGAAAGATTGGGGCAGAAAGTTGAACTCCTTTTTCCCAAAGCGCAGTTGCATTTTGGACACATTTCTCCACAGACGGTCTTTCCGACCAATTTGGAATGAGCCAGGAAAGTGGTTCAACTGTAGATAGGAAATGAGGAGGAATAACAGAGTAAGAAGGTCCCAGTCACCTCTGGCTGGTACCATCTCCCCAAATTCTGTTACATTTGTGTGAATATCATTTGTACAAGCCCAAATCTTTGAACTGCACCTCCTACAGATAGAGATCATTGTTGGTACATCTATCACAATGGCTGAATCCACAAAATACACTAAGCCTAGCCAGCTGCTTAATCCAACCATAATAAATTAATTTTGAATCTGCCAATGCACATCTGGTTATCCTAAACAGATCAAGCCCCATCATTCTAGGGGCTACAGAAGCTCTGTCCACTTCCTCCAGCCCTGCTCAGGACAGGCAGTCCTCAGATTGCAATAGCAATTGGGACTGGAATTTCCATTGCTAAGCAATGTGGGTAAAAAGCACACTGTCACATGACTGCATTGTTTAGCAGTAGCGATTCCAGCAGTCCCAGCTGCTGTTGTAACCACAGGACTCCACAGATCTTGAAGCAAGGACATCATATGATCATGATGCCAGACAAGGCGGGAGTCCAACAAGCAGGCCAGTGGGTGAGAGCTACAGGCGGTTGGCTACACACCACGAGAAGGAGCTAGAGCATGGGGAGTGGATGCTGCAGGCAGGCACTATGGAGTGCAGGCAGGTAAGTAGGTACTATGGGTGGGTGGGGGGGCACTGCAGGCAGGCACTAAAGAGTGTAGGTGAAAAAGCAGCAGGAATGGAAGCCACTTGCAATCTCCTTTCGGCTTCCCCATTGACTGGGGAAGCCAGCAGGAAAGGTCACAAGTGGTGATTACATGACTGTAGGGACACTGCAATGGTCACATCTTCTAGGACCAATCATAAATTCCCCTTGTTCAGTGCTATTCTAACTTTGAATAGTTTCTGAACAAGTAGTCATAACCCAAAGATTACCTGTATCCCATGAGCCCTCTACAAGATTGTACTTGGCAAGGGTTCATTAGATCAATGGTATCTTCCCTACTGGCCAGTCAGACTGCAGTAGAAATAGTTTGAATATTTCAGCCAATCAGTGTTTGGAACACATGTACTGGGCTAACTAACTTTGATACAATACTGGATTTCATAACCAAGCAAATTACATTCCAGCTACTTCAAACCTCCATCTTTCTTCTTGGAGTTCTAATGGGAAACTTTTGGAAACCACAGGTGGCTGAGGTTCAGGTTTCCACAATAGTTACACAGATGAAAAAAGCCTGATTCACTGTTCAAGCTGCCCTTCACTTTCTCCAATATTTAATGGGTTACAGGATTCACACAACACATTGGACTCTTAAAGGTCTTTGTTAAGCACACTGTGTGAACCAATTATTACGCCTTGCAAACTTGTAGGCCTCTTTTAAAAGTGCAGCCAGTAAGAACAACCCATGAAGAGGGGTGGGAAATACTGCAGCAAAAATCAGGCTATATGTAAATGTTTTCTGCAGGACAGGAAGGACTAGAGAGAAGATGTAACAAATTACATCTTCTGTCTCTACACTGAATTTTGTTGTTCAACACATTCATGTGCACTCTGAACAAATCACATACCTTCTGGTGTTCTTTGACAATTCTGAAGCCAGGTGATTTCATATGATGGCCCCAGCAGCCCAGCCAGTCATTATTTCCTATAGGTAATTATGAAAAAGTTATCTGAACAATATATATATATATATATNGGGCTACATTCAGTATATAAGATGCACCCAAATTTTCACCCTCTTTTTTGGGGGGGAAAGGTGCGTCTTATATTATGCATCTTCTTGATGTAGCCTATTACCTCATTCACCAGAGGTTATAAGGAAAATTTGGCTTACCTTTGCACCAGCAATGGTCTACGCTTGGGCAACTGGCTCCATTTATGGATGACCTGTATTCCAATGCCTCTAGCAGAAGCTGGCTAAGAGACACAGAGAGAGAAGTACATAACCATGGACTGTTATGCTGGAGTTCAAAACTGAAACATCAGGGAAAAAATCTGGAAATCTAATGATAGTATCACAAAAATAAAAAGTCACATCTCCCTCAAATTAGACCTAACTCTTACTGACTACCCAGACATGTTCATGATTTTTAGCAACAACGTAGAAATGGCTGCTACTTACTTCCAGAAAGTTTTTTTCAACTTCTCAGTGTAGTCTACTGCTTTGGGATTTCCTGGTGGTTTTCTATCTATGGACTAATTAAACTTAAACTTGCTTAGGGTGTCTGAGACCAGCCAAGGTCCGTTACATGCTGCCACATGCAAGAACCCTTATGTTTATACTGCTGGTCCTTAATAAATTCCTAGTACAGTCTTCAAATAACTTAACAGTATTTTTTGAAATGGTTTGGTTTGTTTCAGTGATGAAAGCAGATGCAATAGAAAAACAATGTAAAATGGCTGCAGGAATAGATGTTACATTGTCCCATAATGCAGTACAACAGCTTTGGGAAACTTTGGGGGATCAATGGATAATTAGCTAGGTAGCCTGTATAATTTAAAACCCTATGTGGCTGCAGTTAAAGTACACTATCTAACCTATTTAGTGCAAATGCATAACTTTGAGAATATCAAATGTTTAGAAAACGGAGAATAAGGGATCAACTAAAAACTAAAGAACTTGACTTCAGGAGGAAGAGAGATGTACATTTACCATTGTACATAAATGGCGAGGAGGTGGAGAGGGTTGGTATTTTAAATTTCTGGGCATTTATATCTCGGAGGACCTCTCATGGACCATGAATGCTAACATGCTTGTGAAGAAGGCACAAAAGAGGCTGTACTTCCTGAGAATGCGAAGGAAAATAAATGTATCTCAGCATCTACTTCTGTCCTATTATGAGTGTGTCCTGACATAAGGCATTCTTGCATGGCATGGGAGCAGCTCTGCAGTGGACAAAAAAGTTCTGCAGAGAATCATTATCACCGGGCTCCAGCTACCAGCCCTGGATGACATCTTCGCATCTCACTGTTTGAGGAAGTTGCATAACATTCTCAGAGACTCTTCCCATCCTGAAGTCAAGTTCTTTAGTTTTTAGTTGATCCCTTATTCTCCGTTTTCTAAACATTTGATATTCTCAAAGTTATGCATTTGCACTAAATAGGTTAGATAGTGTACTTTAACTGCAGCCACATAG